AAAAATAATGGAAATCAATTAATCCGTGCAAGAACCCAAAAGTATGAAAAAAAAAAATTTTTACCACATGAAATATTAAGTTTAATGCAATAGAATAATTACAATAACAATAGATTAATAACAATAGAATAATTGACACTTACCTTTAATGAAGATCTGGTGATGATTGATGGGATTGGAGGAGGGGAGAGTGTGGATGGTGTTAGTGTTTAGAAGGGGAATCCCCTTCCATTAGGACTTGAACTGGCAGCCTCACCATGCCTTACCACACTGTGTATGCCACTACAATTCTTAAATCTTTCAAACCAACCTTTGCTGGCCTTAAATTCACTCACATCACCACTAGTTGCAGGCAATTTCTTTACCAAATCGTCATGCAACTGCCTAGCCTTTTCACAAATGATCGCTTGAGAGATGCTATCTCCTGCTATCTGTTTTTCATTTATCCACAACATAACAACCTCTCAACATCTTCTAACACTAGCGATCTCTGTTTCAAAAACAAAGTTGCACCTTTTGCAACAACAGCTTCCTTGACTGCCATTTTCCTGCTCACTATAGTAGAGATGGTTGATTGGGGTTTACTATACAACCTGGCCAGCTCCAACACATGCACTCCACTTTTGTACTTTGCAATTATCTCTTCCTTCATTTCAATAGTCATTAGCACCTTTTTTCTCGAAGGGTTGGCACTTGAAGCTTTCTTGGGGCCCATGGTTACTTATTTTGCAGAAACAAGCACCAAAAACAGTGATAATATGGATAATATGGAATGTGCCGAATGTATCCTTAGATGCGTGCACACTGGCTGGCTTGTAAACACTGGCACACACAGGGCAGTTCAGGCCACATGTGGACACGTCTCGTACGAATCTTATCGAATATCGGGTTTTCCATCGAATGTCGAGGCGAAATTTTTGCGTTAAAATGCATCGAATGTCGGATTTATCGAATGTCGATGCCATCGAATGTCGGGGGTCCTCTGTACTTGAAATTCACCATCAGAAATTTTGATGTCCTACCAATTTCAATGCTTGTCCCATTAAAGGTTGTAGATGAATGGTCCAGAAATAACAGAAAAAGGCACAATACCGTGACTGGAACGATACACAAATAACCCGCACATAAAAGAGAGAAGCTTACAACGACATTTTGGTCCGACTTGGGCCATTTACAAAGTCTTGTAAATGGTCCAAGTCGGACCGAAACGTCGTCGTAAGCTTCTCTCTTTTATGTGCGGGTTATTTGTATAATGGTCCAGAGAACCGACACGTTGAAAATTAGACACATGTGCAACTATTGGGTATCTTTACTAAGGAAACGTTTTGCCACACAGTGGCTTCATCAGTCCATATAAAGGAGAATCGTGAAGAACAGGAGAAGAATGAGGTAATCAGTCCCTCAATCTTGAGTCGATATGGTCAGTCCATCAATCTTGAATAGAATACAGCATATGTGCCGAGAAGTAGCTTATATACCGTAAGCAGGAGAGGTGCAGCAGTCATAGGTGGTGTCACATTTGTCCAATGTGGAATTAGGTCGTGCCCAAGGGTTAGGCAAGTGAAGAATTCCCAAGTATTAAGATCCCAAGAAGTTGCAGTGTCTGACAGGATTGTAGATGAATGGTTCAGAGAACCGACACGTTGATAAATTAGACACATGTGCAACTCTTGGGTATCTTTATTAAGGAAACATTTTGCCACACAGTGGCTTCATCAGCCCATACAAAGGAGAATGGTGAAGAAGGGTTTTTAGGTCCCAACCATGAGCTGTCTGCATACACTACTGTCAACCATCACTGTACATTGTATCATGCTGAAATAAACTTATTATTATTATTGGTAGGAGGAGGAGAGTGTATCACAGCTGCTCCATAATTCATTGGAAATAACATGCTTATTATGGACTATAATCTTTCCTGTACAGGTTTACCACATTTTCACAATCTTAAATTATAATAGTAATATTGATGATAACATTTTTAATAAATTATAATCATAATGATGGTTTGTTGTGTTACAGGGAACCCGCGCAACAAGACAGCACTGAAGCCGGGTCACAGCTTGATGGACTGGGTGAGGTTGGGTCACTCTGGCACTGACCTCGCAGGGACACAGGGAAAGATCCTCGATGTAACGCTGAAAGATCTGGCTAAGCACAACAAACCCAATGACTGCTGGATGGCACTGAAGGGTGAGTTGTGGATGTCTTGGCCCTTCAGTGACAGGGGGTTAAAACCTGGTAGAAAATATTGATAGTTGTGATATAAGACATGTGGACTGAAGAAGTAATTCATGGTGTAATGTTTGTTCAGTAAATATTGTTGCACTGGACACATGCCTTGTGTCATGATGGGGGTTACCTTGATGCCATGGCATCCCCCATGCTATGGCATCCCACACACAGACCTGTAACTGGTCTGTGTGGGATGCCACACAGCCACACTAAACCCAAAGTCGGCTGACCATGCAAAAAAAAAAAAAAAAAATCGCCTTACATATATTCATTCTCTTACAGTCTGTTATGTTCTTTTGTTAATTACCCAGACATACAGGCCTCCAGATCAAGCTCTTTTAGCCCACAGTGGCCTCTTAGACCTAATAAATATAAGGGACCATAACTACTACTTCTGAAATCATCAGGTTCACTAGGTATTACTAGGTTTTTGTATAATTATCACCTTCCATTAAAAGTCTAGGGGGTCATTTTAAAACATTATTAACCTAGAAAAAAAGTTAAAGCAAAATTCAAGTACAGAAATTAACTATGTACCATAAAAATATAAGGTGGCTCGTAACCTGGTAGGCAAAGCTCTCACTTCACATGCTGAGGTGTCCGGGTTCAATTTCTGGCAAGGGTGAAAATATTAGACGTGTTTCCTTACACCTGTTGTCCATGTTTACCCATCAGTAAAATAGGTACTGTACCTGGGTGTTAGTCGACTGGCACGAGTCGCATCTTGGGACAAAATTGACCTAGTTTACCCAAAATGCCCTGTATGTCATTGATGTCAGTTATGGTCTGTATACCTTGTACATGTACTTGTAGAAATAAGATATTTTATTTATTATTTATCACCATTTATATCCCCATGGCACAGAGTGCTTAAACTGGAAAGAAAAATTCCACAGTTCATCGGATCATTCTTGTAAGATCCAATATTGAGGCTTGAACACTACCAAGTGGTATACATCATAGTTACCCCCACTTTAAATAAATCCTTTACAGTAATGTTATCCAGAGTCCTAAAAACACTACAGAAGTACTACACAGTAACAACCAGGGCAGCCTGATATATTTACCCCAAAAAAACAGTAGTGGTCAGCTGTCTTATTCTTCTACTTGTTTGGGTTTATAGGGCCAATGACAGCTTACTCGGTAACGAGCCCTGCCTTCCATTATCCTTAAAAGAAACCTCGACCAAAGTGGAAAGAAGTTGACTAATGGCTGTACATATTATATGCCCCCAGTGTGCCCTGAGGCCTGCAAGAAGGTACAGGCCAGGATCTCCTGACTGACAGTGTGGAGGGTCAAACACCTCCCCATTGAGAAGGAGAGGTGGGGGTCGAGGAGAACATCCTTAATGTACACAAGGCCACACTGAGGAGAGTCGATGCAAAGTGGTAAGGGGGGCACCACAGTAGGAGGTGCTTCACCATCTCAGGCTGAGAGGGACACCACGGGCAGGCTGGGGAGTCCATCATCTGAAGGCAGTTCAGATGAACCGCCAGTTGTGGAGGTGGCTCAGTGAAACATTCACTAAGCAATTACGATGATGAGCCTAAGGGCAGGGGACATTGAAAGACTGGACTGAGCTCAGTGCTGACCAACAGAGGGAGTATGACAGGTTCCTCTGCCACAGACTGCAGAGTTCCCTCCAAACACCCTTTGTGAAATCACTGTGTCACAGTGCAAGGGAGGTATGGTAGGAAATGTGTACTCGCCTAATTGTGGTTGTAGGGGTCGATTCATAGCTCCTGGTCCTGCCTCTTCACTGGTTGCTACTAGGTCCTCTCTCTCCCTGCTCTGAGCTATCTAACCTCATCTTAAAACTGTGTATGGTTCGTGCCTCCACTACATCACTTTCTAGACTGTTCTATTTCCTGACAAGTCTATGACTGAAAAATACTTCCTAACATCCCAATTGTAATGTTGTTTTTATTATGTACAACTTCAAGATTATTATTCTTATAAACTTCCACCTTGACTACCTCACATTAGTATTAAGATTAAATAAAGTTTTTAATAAAAGTTAACCACTATTATCTTGTGTAGATTTAAGTAGTTATTATGTACTAGGATCAGTCTGCCTGAGATGACCTGCCATGATACTGACTTTCTTTGTACTTACCAAACCAAAATTGTAATTACTCATTGTAACCTTTACAAAGAAATAAAATCTTTATTCTTTGACTCATCTGAGTCTTCAACTTCCAATTGTGACCCCTTGTTTCTGTGTCCCATCTCTTGAACATCCTGTCTTTGTCCACTTTGTCAATTTCTTGCAGTATTTTTTATGTCGTTATCATGTCTTCCCTAACCTTCCTGTCCTCCAGTGTCATCAGGCCGATTTCCTTTAACATTTCTTCGTAGGACATTTCCCTTAGCTCCGAGGCGAGTCTTGTGTGTGTGAGGGAGGCTGCTCGATCAGCCACTTCATTGGTCTGCATGCCCAAATAAGCTGGTACCCACTGAATGGAGATGCCGCAACCCGGATTTTGCAAGAAGCACAGAAGATGCATCTGCCAAACAAGGAAGTGGAAGGATTATGGATGGGCAGAAGAAAGAAGTACCAGGAAGGATTGGGAATTAGAGAAGAGAAACACAGACTGAAGTGGGAAGTGAGAAAAGGTAAAAATCATAGCCTGGTGAACGAAGAACTTCCCTCCTAGGATCAAGTGAAAGATTTGGCACAGAAAAATCAGCGAAGTAGCTGAGGACATAGAAGGGGGAAAAGTTCATGCTGAGCCACCTGTGTAGATGGAGAATGAAGAACTATATGTGGCAGCATGAAACTCTTCGAAGAGAAACGCCGCCATTGGGGGAGTTTCTCTGTTCCCACATGGCCAATCCAGGTTGATGCACCTTTCCAGGTTCATCCAAGGGAGGACCAGGGAATGGAGAGGGGAGAGAGTCAGCACCTATTCAGGAAGTGAGAGATAGGGCAGGGAATGTCTGGCCCTGGCCAGTGGAGGTTAGCAGAGGCTGCTGCCCACACCTGTGGAGAGAGGCAGCAGGGCTGAGTATAAGGAGTTCCTCGCCATTCTCACCAGTGAGAGGGGGGACTACTTCAGACTGCTTCCAAGGCCACAATGAGGGTGGTGGGAAATGCCACCACCATACTGTGGAGGGCAAAATTTTGGAGAATGTCCAGGTGGCAGAGAGAGGAGAAAGAGGCCGAGCCATATACCTTCTCACATAGTTGAGCTTGCTGCAAACCATAGCCATATAGAATCCATAAAGGAAGTCTTGATCTGCTCCCATTTAGTGTTGGAGATTCGGTGCATAAGTGCCACATTGAATGCAAAAGAGAGGCGTAAGACCATTATATGCCTCCTCCATGTCAATAATGGGGCATCCAAGATGACACCCACCCATCAGCGAGAGGAGACCAGTGGGATCGGTGCCTGACCGAATAAAAAAAAAAAAAAAAAAAAAAGAGAAGTGTCACCTAGTAAAGCATAAGAGGCAAGACTCTTGAACAGAATCAAAGACTCATCAACAACAATGTTCTTGAAGGGATAAAAGTATGCACTGAATTTCTGCTTCAAATACATAAACACTTCCCGGATTTTGTATAGAAGGTCATTTCTGTTTGGCGTATTTCTGTCTGAGAAGTGCAACATTCGTGGCAACAGAGTGAATCTGTTGCAGGGAAGGAGGTCATGGAAAACTGGAGTACTGATGAAGTGGTCTGTGGACCAGTAATTACATATATTGTTCTTATAGATATGTGGCATAAGCATGACAGTGGCAAAGAATAAATGCATTTCAGCCACTGTTGTGTCCTTCCACCTGTGCAGCCGTGACGATTCTCCAACCTCTGTTATGTTGTCCATGACATATCGGTAATAATTGTTTGTCTGGGTCACTATCAAGTTCATTATAGGCTCGTCAAAGTACAACTGGAAATAGTCTAACTCTGTAGACTCATTTGTTATGGGACATTCAAATCAAATCAAAGTTTATTCTCTATAAGGATTACAATGCAGGGTTTACAGATTTTGGTTATTGTGTGGTTTACATGTAGTAAAATACTAATTACAGAGGGGGCCACTAGAACACCTAGCATGGCTAGGCATTTCGGGCAAACTTAGATTAATTCTTAACCCTAAATTATAACAATTTGTGGAGTAAGTTGACTAAATACTAAGTGACAAATACTAGTTCGTGAGTTTAGCAATGTGAATGCTTTGGTTTTGGCACAATACATGGTTTCTATATTGGAGTATCATAGGAAAACTTATGACTAGTTAGGAATCATTATTTTAAGATTAGGATACGTATTTCTGTGCTTATAGTCAAATGGGTGAGTGAGTGAGGGTAAATGCGGACCACCAGGTGGTTTTTATGTAGTTAGTTGATGGGGTGTATCAGGGAGATAAAATGATTTCTAACAGTAGTTTTGAAGGTGATGAATGTGTCTGCTGTTCTAGAGTTTTCAGGTAAAGTGTTCCAGATTTTAGGGCCTTTGACATACATTGAGTTTTTGTAAAGGTTTAGTCGGAGAGATGTTTGTGTCTGGTGTTATGCCTGTGGGTTCTGTCACAACTATCAAGAAAGCATTTTAGGTCAAGGTTAATATTGGAATTTAAGGTCCTGTATATGTAGAATGCACAGTAGTAAGTGTGGATGTTCTGAACAGGGAGTAAGTTTAGATCTATGAAGAGTGGGGGGGGGGGGTGTTGCCAGGGATGGGAATTAATGATTATTTTTATTGCAGCTTTTTGTTGAGTTATTATTGGCTTTAGGTGTATTGCTACAGTTGATCCCCAAGCACAAATAACATAGGTAAGGTATGGATAAATGAGTGAATGGTATAGTGTGATAAGGGCATTTTGCGGCACGTAGTATCGTATCTTGGAGAGGATACCACTTCCACTCGCATCAAAATCACAAGGCTGTGGCACGAATATACTTTGTGTCCAGTTCCGCTCATGATCACATGGTGCAGGGTGGACCTGTGGCATGGG